GCGAAAAACGGCAACGCAATACGTGCCCTTACCAGCACTGTTTTCTTTACCTCTTCTGGATTCCCTCCTGATTGAGAATATGTCGGCTCCATGGCTAGTGTCGACCGAGTTTTATGGTGCTGAGCAGTATCATCCCCCCAGCAAAGTTCACGACTGTTTTCCCAGTTCGGAATAGGAGATGAGTGTAACTGCACCTCATCCCTTTCTTTCTGTTCCTGGTTGCACATTTAGGATTTGCTGATCCATGTGCAGCTTACTAGTCTGCAGTCTTACTTCAGACATGCTAGTAGCCTTTTGAGCACTTCATTCGCTTCTTCCGAGAAACCTTGTCGGGTAAATGGATCATGGCCTTAGTTAGTGGTGGTCCGCGATCGCCCCGTTGCAATGTATTTTGCAATCTTATGGTGTGTTTTACAACGACAAGCGCTATCCAAGTAAAATTCCGCTACAACTTTGAGCACCTTGGGAAACCTCGGAAGGGAGGTGGAGTGTCTTGGATTGTTAGTAGTCACCCTTTCACTTCATTTTAAGAAATACTCCCAGACTACCAATTATCTCAAACAGCCTTTACTGAGGAGGCCACTGGCTTCGGGTGGTGGTGTGTGCCCGGTGAAATAGGAGAACGAGAAGCCAATATCCAGGCCGATGAACAGCTGCCAGTTCACCTAAGGGAGTTGGCTAAATACTGTGATCCAAAACCAACCAATAACCGGTCAATGGCCACGGGCTCGATTGGGCATCGATGTGTACTGGGCACTCTGGATGTTTGAACCTGTCTAAATGGCGTACAATCTGATAGACTGGACATCGGCCCCAATGGATTGCAGTGCTCGCACACTGACTTGCACGTCAGGTTCATTGGTCAAAGTTCCCGGTTATAAATTCCTTTAAAAATTCACTTGCGTTGACCCGGGTAACTAACATTATTCCACCCACGATCAAATTTTGGACTCTTTCTTTGTTGTAATGATCGTTGATTTTCTCAACAAACCTGGACTCCGACACGTGAAATGTGCAGAATGCCGCGGATCGTCCGCGATCACTTGTATAACGTTATATGTCTTTTTTAATTTCCTTTTTACTTATTGAATATTCAAATGTACGGTCACTTTTCAGGACTGCAAAGACTGTCTGGGAAAATACAGAGGTGCGCAATTAGAGTTTGCAAAGGAGCAACAGAGCTTGCTCCGTGTCTCTAACGTTATCAGAGTACTCTAAAGCCCAAAACTTTTCTCCAACTGGACATCCATGCTAACATTTCCGAACTCATTTAGGACGTTTTCCAATATTTTGTTTGTGGCCAAATTGAACAAGAATAGTGAGTGACTCTTAGATCCGGGTGCTTTCTCTCTCTTTCGAGTTTGAGTGCAAGACCATTTATCTCCCATTGGAGGATCACCAGCCGAGATAATCCGTCATGTGCCAAATATAGTGAGCAGTTCCTTAACTTGTGGTACCCGTTATTCCTTATTGTGAATAGCTTATCCAGTTTTACGACAATTTGTGCAACCTCCACTGTTGCGTAGCACTTGTAACAGTCCTCCACTATACTCTGATGCAGCGGATACTTCCACTTCACTGGCTTTTTTCCACCAGTGTTTGCTATCCTTTATCAGGCTTTTATATGCTAACTTTTCAAACGCATCCTACTCTCCTTTTATGATCCTAGTCGTTCGGGCTTTTCCGCTTTCTGTTTCTCAAATCTACTGATGCCGTAGAGAACCACTGTCTCGGACACATTTGAAGTTCGTACCCACAAGTAGTCTAGCCTAGAAAGGAATTTCATGTACTGTGCCACGTTTCCAAGCTCTTAGCGCATGTCTTGTTGTTGCATAGCAGCTAGGAGCAATTGAGTGAAGAAAGGAGTGGTGGGCTAACCGTGTTTCCGGGCTTTGTCGGTGGTCAGTGAGTCGAAGCCCTAGAAGTATCGAAACTAATGCGTGGTTCAATAGAATCAGCAATTTCGCCTCGTGTCTAACCAACGGTAGCTTGCTACCATCTGGTCGATTAAAGTCAACGCATCCATGGAGCTAAAGAGGGGAGTTTCTGTCTGTTGAGAACTGTATCGGAATCCGATGCTAGACTGGAGCAAAGAGTGATCCACAATGAACTGAAGAAGCCAATCGCGTTGCTCGTTTGCTTGGAAGGTAGAGCACAGCATCCCAGATAGGCTTCTGATGGACTCAATTTTCCAACGGTTGTATCACCTATCAGCAGAACTATGTCGGAGCTTCGATTTAGCCGAATAAGTTCTTGAGTTTGCCGTAGAACTTTTGTGCATAGGGACTACAGTTTGTTAGTCATCTGGTCAACAAACACCTTTTAATGCTTTTTACATTTCGAATACTGATTAGACCCTGGAGCCGCGTCGCATGTTATCGAATGTTAACGGGAATCTAGTCAATTATCTAGGCCTCTTCTTTATCCTTCTGTACGATACCTACTCTGCAATGACCATCTGAACGGCCTTTGTTTTCTCCTGATATGCAGAACAAATTGAAGAACAAGACGGTGTATCTAAGTTGCTTGTACCAGTGGGATCCTGAATTTGCGTTTCCCATACAGAGCAGCCAGTTTACCCTCCAGACAAGCGTGTCAACCCATCTTTGAGAGCTCAGGTTGATAGCCCCCAAGTTCAGAGGTTGACGAGGCTTCAGAGTATGCAGTTCATTTGGTGATCAACTGATTTTAATGCTGTTTGGCAACCAGCTTTGGTGAGTGACCATTTGTATGATAGAATGTTGTGGGATGAAAGAACGGGGACGTTTGAAAATGGAAGACAAAGAATAGGAGGGGGGAGATTTCAGCAGTAACCTTTCTACTACTGCCCACTCCGTTCGATGCAATGGGCACCTACTGATCTTTGATATGAACAGGTTATCGGTTTGCCTACTGAAGTGATATAAACCTTCGATTGTGTGCCACGTTCTACGGCCTTTCTCGTAGGTCAGTAATTTCCACAGTTTATCAGTTTCGCGCTGCCTTCTCTTTATGGCGCGAAGCTCTTAAGCTGCAGGGAAGCCTGCAGTGTCTCCATAGGGCTTAGTTATTTGAGTCGTTCTTTTCTTTTTCGTTGTCTTGGTTGAATAACAAACAACTCTTGGTGTTTTGTATCTTTTTCCCAACAAATATCATACAAGTTGCTGTTTAATTATTTTTGAATCATGATATTTCTTTTCTCTCTGTTCATTAATTCTATTATAGTTATACTTGCTTTGTATTTTTCTCGTTCTCACAGTCCCACACTAGTGTACTATCCCCCAACGACAGGGAATGCTCGTAATATGCAGGCTCGTACTTGGATTTTGNAATGTACGCTCTCCTCTGTCCGTTGCGTCATCCGGGTCCGAAAAGGTTTCCGATCCCTCGGGCGATCCCGGCTCCATCATGGCTGTCGGCATGGCTGACGGGACTGTGATTTTTGTTGATCCGGCCGCGGACGATGATATGCACCGAGTGTTGTGGTGTGTTCAATTACGTGTGCGCGGTGAATTGTTTGGTTTGTCCAAAGTCAGTTTGACTGTAAGTTGATCGATTCGTTTGCTGTTCTGTTTTGGCACCTTTCGATAATTTTTTAAAGCTTTGAGTTCTCTTTATCCATTTCATCAAAACAGAAAGAAGACAAATGTCGCGAGATGTTAACATTTCGTTTAATCTTCTCAGTCTCTGACTTAAAACAAACAGGCACATATATAGCACATGGGATTAATCAATTATGGTGAACAAACGTGTACAAGCATACAAAAATTACTAAATTTAGAAGTAGAAGGTCAACTCTACGATAGGTGGATTTCTTGTATCAAAAACTTCTGTGCGCACAAGGTCGGATGATGTAATCGAATAAGCAGGGATAATTTATTGGTCAGGTCGTAAGGATCAACCGTACGCACACATCCAAATGAGCTGCTTGAAAGACTGTTCAAGAAGATCATTTTGGGTGCTGTACTACTTACCACTGATTAACAGTTTGTGTCATCCAAGTCAGTTTGATTCATCTGTCATTCGGACCGATATGTGAGTAATGGTCAAGTATGCCAGGGAGTGTTGGTTTGTGAGAGTTATCCCCTCAAAACTGTTTGCTATCCCTCGGTTACCTGTTGAAAATACGTGAGCAGCGTTTACCACCACATGCCGCGTACGGTTGGAAAAGAGCCCGTTTGTAACACGGAGAACTAGAATCCACAAGCTAATAGATGTTTTCTCTTCAACATGTAAGTTTATGTCGACTTTCAGAATGGGGCGCCGAGAGTTGTGACTGCCTCTAGCCGAAGACCCCGAAAGACACGGCCCCAACATGGCTCGGCGGCAGATCTACTCCGCCGTCTGTAGTTTCTGCACATCCTGATGAAAATAAGCTTGAAAAATCTCAGAATAATAGGTATATATTACAATAAGTAGTATATGAATGATTGGCCAGAATGTCCCTGGAAGTGCACAACCGGTTTCGCGATTCTTGCCGCTCGTCGGGTATGCGTATCCGATAATCTTTTGTCTTTTCATTCATATACTTGTATCCATGAAGTGCATTATATATATGCGGATATTAAAGTAAAGTGCTTGTTTTTCGCCTCGCATGTTATTATTACCATCGCATTTCTTAATTCGGTTCACTTTAGGCTTAAAAATATATTTTAGTTCATTTTTTTAAATCATGAAGAGCTCCAGTATAAGGCAGGAATATCATATACATCATTGTCAATGGTGCACTGCACTTGCTAATCTCCGGGGCTATACAGACAAATCTGTTCTTTTAATGTTTCTCTATCAGTCCAACTTATACACACAAACGCACACTAACCGCAGCTTAAGCTGATTGGCAGAGGAAAATTCATCCTAACTATCCACAGACTAACAACTGTTCATCAAGGTCAAGCTATTTCTTTCAAATTTATTGATTTTGTTTTGACTTCACGGTTGGTGCCGATACGAAACCCTCAAATAATCGTCCTCTCGTCCAGATAACGATTCCTCAGGTAGTGAAACAAAACACCTGTAAACATGTAGGAATTCGTGCATTGAAATACAAATCTACTCAATGATCAACCGATTGGATCGTTGTACCGGAACCCCCTGACCGATTTTGACTGGCTGCCCTCCAGAAATCACCTCCATGTATGATCATGAGTTCACCCAATCAACCATACACTCTGAAATTATTAGACTCTAGTTTTGCATATCAACTCGCCAGATACAGCAGACAGTTTTCAATCTTGTTCGATTATGATCGGTTAGGAATCCTCAGTGACGATCGAACATACACATGATTGCTATCTACACCCTGTATGGTCCGCGCTTCTTTTGTGGATCACACAAGTTTCATTTTTATGCGAATTCTTTTAAAGCTCTTCTGAAACTGTTGGCATAAGTTTCTGTTTCAGTTTATATAACCACTAACCACGCACTGCGGTTTTGCGGTTGTGGCTGATCGTTCACAATACAATGATCCAGATATCCCCATTCAGTAGACTTAACGCAAACTACATGACCTAGCTTCTTGGATAGGGTTTTCATACCCTAATGACAGGTCTTGGTTTGAGCACTCTTGGCTTTCTTCCACCCACTACCTGCCTCAGCAAACATCGCTCGCTGTGGCAACCGATCTGGTGACATGCGTAACACATGCCCCAACCACCATAATCTATGGAGGTCGACCACTTTACCCAGTGGGCGACTGCGCTTACCCAAAACTAACCTAACCTAGCCTAACCTCAGCATTGCTCGCCCGGCTGCCCCACCAGATTCGTGCAATGCTGCGTAGACAGCGGTGTTCAAACACCGACAGTCTGTCTGTATCTTGTTTTCTCAATGAACAAGTTTCTGTGCCGTATAGCAGGACTGATTGCGTTGCCGCAGCATACACACGACAGTTCACAGACAGCCGAAAATTGCGGCTGCGCCATAAATGTCTCGAGTTGGTAAATGCCAATCGAGCTTTCTGTTTACGAGCTAACACTTAATCCGTGATGCGTCCACCAGGTGAGGTATAACTGCCCAAATAACAAGACCTCCACTTGGTCCACCTGAGAGTAAATCGATGCCACTATCCTCGCACAGGGATAGGGCTGTTTCCATAATCGAATCTGAAAAGAAGTCCAATGAAAAAGGAGAGAGACAGAGAGAGTAACCCTAATGAACACCACTTTCCGTGGTGAACTCGGGTGAAAAAATTCCGGAAGCTCGGGCTCGACTTCGGATATTAATAATAATATTATTAATAAAGTAAACTTCTCGGGTACATGCTTCATCAAAAGGCAGCGCACGAGTTTAGAGCGATCGTCTGATTCGAAGACCACTTTCATATCGAAGAAGATACAGATGGTGACTCTTCGAAGAGAATGTCGGTGCTCCAGAATTTGGCGAAGAGTGAAATTATGGTCTATACAACCTCGACCAGGCCTAAAACCAGCCTGATTCTCATAAAATCCTTCCAGGTATAACAACAAATCAACCATCTTGGGTTTCTTTCTTCCGGCTACACGAATTCAGTGTTCGGTCAAATTTGCGGATATTTTGGATGGATAAGGGAATAGACCCATATGTCTTTGTTGTTCCCTTCTTTTTTATTTGTCACAATGCTGATTGGATACATTTTAATCACAGACAACATGGGATAAGCTGCAAGATATCTCCCAGATATTTGTATCCTTTGCTCTGTTTCACTACATCCATCTTTTCATGACCTATGTACTTAGTGTACAGCTCGTTTCTGAAATTTTCCTCTGCTTGTTTGGTGTTCATAGGGTGGAGACACCGATGAGGTGTGCGCGTGTGCTTGGGACGGGACAACCTATGTGCTAAATCATCGCAAGGAGTGGTTTCGCTTCCCAATGGGACAATCTTGTCAAGCGTTCACAGCCGGTTGGTACGCGGTGGAACCGGGACGCAATGAACCAGTGTTTGTCTACACCACATGCGAACACAGCCTACTTATCTATTACAATCTGAACGTGAAGAATATCGCTGAGCCTTCGCTATCCGGGGCGATAGCTATGGACCCAGAACTGGCGAAAAAACTGCGAGAAAAGAATGTGGATCGTGAGTATCTTGACTTTTTGCGACAATAGTTCTCCATGTATTTGTGTGCGCGTGCGCAATCCACCAGGGCTGTTTGTCCCAGTCTGACCCCGACACTACAGCGTTGCAACTTTCACACGTAACCACTATCCTAGCCGGATTGACTCTAACGGTTAGTTTTGCGTTAACCCTACTTGGTAAAATGCCCATCTGTGTCTGCTGTTAACCTCTAACGACCGCCACTTAGAGTTAGATTTCTTTTTGCATATCTCCCTAGCAGTGACCCAGTATGACAGCAAATAACGCGTATATATGGATTTTATATATATTTCACACCCGTCTGAGACCAGACTGTGTCAAACAAATAATAATGCCATAATCTCTATAAAAATGAGAAATGTTCCATAATTGGCTTGCGGGCTGAATACTGCCAAGATGCCCAGGCCAAGCAAGGTGAATTTTCTTGAGGAATCCACAACCGGAGGCTTCGGCTAGCCAAAGCCTGACCCGCTAGGTAGCGGGGCGGTGTTTGAAAACCGCAATCCATTGGGAGCCGGTGTCCAGTTCATTGGATCATACGCCCTTAGGAAGGGGTCAAACGTCCAAGGTGCCCAATACACCTCAGTGCCCAATTGAGCCGGTGACCAATGCCACAACCGTAAAGGTGTGGGTGTGGTTCGTACACCTCCTCTTGGTTGGTTTACGGCCAACTCCCCTAGGTGAAATACCAGTGGTCCATCAACCTTGTTATAGCCCCGGATGTTGGCTTTTCGTCCTCTCACTTTGGTGCGAAAATACCTTCGCCACGAGAAGGTAGTGAGCAGGGCTTCCTCAGCATAAGCTATTATAGACGTTTGGTCGTATGGGAGCATTTCGCAAGGTATAAGAGAAGGGTGACCAGCCGCAACCCTATACACCCACCGACCATACTGAGGATTTCTGAGGAATAACGCCTAATTAATGATGGTAGTTGTGTTGTTGCATACAGGTGTTGACCAAACCCGTGCAACATCACCCTCATTTCGAAAATCCATTTCAGCTTGCAATACCATAGTTATATATAGACCTTGTTATCTTGCAACTGATGCATTAGCAAAAATCGCTGAAATCGAAAAATTGTACATTTTAATGGCATGTGGCTAACAGAAACAGTGACATAAGTGGATATTATATCAGATATGTTGCGTCTGATGTGGGGTAATATTATATTCAATCCCGTAAATGAGGCTGGAAAAACGAAGCATTGAGAGGAACAAATGTGATGAAAATCAGGATGTTGCACGAGTTTGGTCAATACCTGTAACTCAAGGTTGAGTCCAACCCCGTTAGTCTCGTTTTCACAACTCGTCGCTTCCGGGTGCGAGCGATTACCAGTTTGGCGAAGATGCTACTAATAATAATAATACGATTTGTAATGAACACAACACAGCTGTACACCGTTGCAAAAAGCTCCGGTCTCTCCAAGGGTAGGTGGGACCCCTTTCTCGGACTATCTGTTAATCCATCTACTTGTGCAAGTCTACTCATTGTGTTCACTTTGACAGTGTTTTTACTGAAATGAGAGACCGAAAAGGCAACACTCAGGGATCCTCTGTCAGCTAGCTCATTTACGGGACTCCGAAAAACACTGATTCCGATTTCTGTTATAAAACCTCTTGCATCTTTATTTATTCCGTATTTCTCTTAAGTGTGCAATACAATAATAAAAATCATTATTTTCAATTGCATGAACGACATTTCAACATTGTACGACGATTCACTTTATATATATATATATATATATATATATATGTATGTATGTATGTATGTATGTATGTATGTATGTATGTATGTATGTATGTATGTATGTATGTATGT